ACCATCTCTTTTGCCGACACAGAAAATCTTAATCCTAGCGCGGGCGATGCCACATTTTTCATTATTTCAGGCTCTTTTCGAAATTTAAAGTAAAACGTTTCTGTTAAAGACTAAAAGAAATTAAACCCCAGAGAATCTTAGAATTCGTTAGCTGCTCTTTTTGCATCGAATTTTAAAATGAAGCTGGAGCTGCCGATAACTTTGAATGCATGAGATGGTAGCAATCTTCACTCCATATAAACAGAAAATAGGCGTCACTGAATGAAATAATTTGAATATATCAACAAAGTTGAAATGGTAAATTGGTCACCATTACGATTATAAAAGCTGACGTTTCGAGCGTTAGCCCTTCGTCGGAGCGAATAGGGGAATTGTGGGTTGTGTGTGCTTTTAAAGGCAGAAAAAGGAGATACTTTGATTGGCAATCAAAGTATCTCGAAGAAAAAAAATTACTATTGGCTTACGATGGACAAAATGGAAGAAGTAATCGGAGATAAAGCCACATCCGAATCATACCTGGCTGTGATTATGTTTTCTAGCTCTGCGTTCTGCTTGATTCCAAAAGATATCCGTTCTGCAAAGTTCTTCTTCAAAACATTTCTCTATAACTGAAGGAAGATTACGAACCATTCTAAGAATATAAAAAAATGTTATTTTCTTGTCTGACCCAACAATGAAATAATAGTTATTCAAATTTTCCAACTGTCAAATTTAAACAAAAGAACGTTTTTTATCAATGACATATTTTCTTGAGGGCACTGACGAATCTCTTTGTAGCCAATTTCAGGTCAGTTCTAGCTCCGGGATCTGTTCCCATACATGTTCATAGGTCTCGATAGAAGCTTTCTGTACCTGACATTACCAAAAGTTATCTTGATATTTATATATTCACAGGCTTGGTCTAAGAAAGGGGACAAATGTGCCTTACCGGTTAATCGATTGGACGTTTTTGACTTTGTTAATAAACTGTACACAAAAATTAAGACGATTTAGTTTCTGAGCCTAGAAAGATGTTACAAAGGATATTTAGTACGAATATTTAAAACTGGTTTCCAGCCTACGTTGGTAAAAATACCACAGGAAGCCCTGATAACAGTTTATTTGAATAAATATATTCAGAATTGTTTGAAAAGAAAAAAAGAAACATCACAGACGGAATTAATGTTGCCTAATGGATCCGCGCCAGAAATACTTCTCTTCCATTTGTTTTCATCGCTTAAAACGTGTTCATGATCGGTAAGAATGGAAACCATTAACTTTGATAAAACATCGAGCTAATTTAGATGAAAACTCTAACATTTTTTTTGTTGTTGTTGTATGAATGCCTCTATCTTCCGTATCGTTTCAAATATCGTGAGATGGGAGCAAGATGGCGATCGCTCATGACCGAGCATACCTGGGTGCGATTATAAAGGTTATAATTTTTCATTCTAGACGATCGCCTGCATTGCTCGTTACTACTTATTAGTATATGGCTGTGTCTCGCAAGGACTTAGAATAAACATTGTAAAGGACTTAGATGAACAAGGACTTAGATGAACATTGTAAAGGCGCCAACATGGCTGCCACGTTTTCTGGAGCTCTTCGCCTATTTACCATTTTTGGTTTTCTTTTCGTTTTGAATGCTGCCCAAGAATCCTACAATTGTCACTTTAGGGGGGCTGAAAGTCCTTGGCTTTTCAAACATATTTTATCCAAGTTCACTACTCTTAAATTTAGAGTTCGCCAGCCGGTGGTGTTGTGGGTCGTCCATGGTCTAACCTTGCTTGCGGTACCGGAGAAATATATCACGCTAGATATCACTATAGATATGGACGTCGAGTCACAACCGGGTCCAGAGACAGACAGGAGTTTCGGAGGAGTTAATAAGAACTACCCGATGTTAATGCGAACCAAGCCAGCGTCTTTGAAATGCTCTGAACTCTTGTCTCTCCGAAACAAAGCTTTCAAGCCATCTCCGGCCGTTCTATCTCAGTTCAAGTCACTCGGCATTCTGAAGTACCGTAGGCAACATAGTGCTCGAATTTCACGATCCACCTCAACCAAGAAAATCCCGGTGATGCAAGGCCGCCGTTTCGTCAAGGCTGAAGGTCGGAAAGTGGATCGGAGTAACTTAATTAACATTCCGCTTGTCAACACAACTGACAAAACATCCACCTCTAAATCAAAGGGTTTCGCTGTCCCAAAATGTTTGTTTACGAACATTTGTGGTTTGTCGAAAACAAAAAGTCGTGTACGAGCACCTGTGGC